CCCTCTGGGAATCTGCTACCTACTAGGTGGTCAGCATTGCTTCATAGAGAAAGGATTGTAGCACAGTGCAAAAACTGGATTCCTTTTCTCTTGTTTCTTTTGAAATCTCCAAGAACAAAGTACAGTGGGGTCTCTACTTAAGAACGTCCCTACTTAAGAACAATTCCACTTAAGAACAGCTCCATTTGCTAAATTTTGCTTCTACTTGAGAACAAAAATCCAGATAAGAACAGGAAAAAAAAACTTTCCTGCTCTTTTTTTAACCTTAGGTCATCTTAGGTTAAAAAAAAGTTCTCCCCCTAGTGGTAGAGTACGTATTAACCAGCTTTGCATTAGTTCCTATGGGAACTAATGCTTCAATGTACGAACGCACTTCTACATAAAAAAAACAGCCAGAACGGATTAATTGGTTTTCAGTCCATTGCTTCAAAATTAGCTTCGTCAGAAGTGCTTTTAACACTGTTCCCTGACCTAAGGGAAAAAAAAGAAAAAAATCCCCCTCTAGTGGTAGAAGGTGGAATAGCAGCTTCCTATTAGTTTCTATGGACGGAAAAGAGCAGATACGGATTAAATGGTTTTCAATGCATTCCTATGGGAAATGCAGATTCTACATAAGAACTTTTCCACTTGAGAACCACCTTCCAATACGGATTAAGTTCTTAAGTAGAGACCCCACTGTACATTGGTCTGGAACCAGCAGGAAATTTAGTTTGTTTGAGAAGACTTTGTACATGCATAAAGGTTGTGGTTCAGTGTTTATGTACCATGTAGGATTTTCCAGCTTCAATCTCTCTGTGTCCAATTTCCAGTTATACTCCAAAGTAGCAAATCTGTGGGAGTTGTTACAGAGGAGTGATACACCAAAGTACAGTGGTGCCTCCATTTACGACCATAATCCATTCCAGAAAATGGAAATAAGTCGAAATGGTCATAAGCCGAAGCACCATTTCCCATAGGAATGCATTGAAACCCCATTAATCCGTTCCAGCAAAAGAAAAAAAAATTACCAAAAATATCACTGCAAGACTCATTGGAAACACAAGTAATCCCTTCCGGCCAAAGGTGGTGGGGGGGAGAAAATCAATCAAGCGTGCAAGACCCATTGCAAATGCACAGAAAACAAACGGAGCTGATTGGAAACACACAGAGAAGGGACAGGGTTGGTAATGCAAAGAAAACAAAGGAAAAATAAGGGAAGCATGCAGAACCCATCAGAAATGGGGGGAAAACCCAAAAAAAGCAACCAAACCCCCCAAGATCCATCGGAAATGAGGGGGGGAACCAACCAACAAACAAACCCCCAAGACGCATCACAGCACAGAAACATAACCCCCCAGCCTAAAACCGCGCTGCAAAAACACAGTTTTTTAAAAGCAGAAAACAGCACCTTGCCTTACCTAACAGGCAGTCCCAAGCCTGCCTACAAACACACACATGCTCACTGAGAAGCTCACTCTAACACTGGGAGCGAAAGAGCTACAAAGAAGCAGCCTCTTTCTGCCACCTACAGTTAGCAATTTGAATTTCTCACCTTTTTCCCCTGCCTTTTTCTGTTTGTAAGTGGAAGCTCCAGTCACAAGTAGAAGCAAAATTTTGCAGCCAGAGCTGGTTGTAAGTTGAATTGGTCGTAGGTAGGGACGTTCATAAATGGAGGCACCATTGTATCAATGATCTTAGCTTGATGGTCCAAAAGGGCCGTAGATTTATGGATTGGAGTAGTGAGAGAAATATGACTTGAAAGTAAGTGAAGATGGATCATTGTTGAAGATGTGTTTCTTTGAACCCTTTCCCTTTCCCATTAGTCTGTAATGAGAGAATGGTAATGCTTAGTTCAAGCTTTTGAAGAAGGGATAGAATGTAGCTTCCCATTTTCAAGAAATAAATTTCTGAGAACATTAAACGGGAACAGGCGTAGCTGGTGGTCGGAGCAGGAAATTTGCTCCACCATTTGCTCTGAAATGGTGGATGGAAGATCAGCTACCTGTAGCTGAGAGACCATTTGCATCCCAAAGTAAACTACTACTACAGCTACCTTTCTGCAATCAAATGTGTACCATGTTCTCTTTTTAGGCCAACACAGAACCTCCAAAATTGAGCAGGGAGGAGCAGCGAGGGAGGGGAGCCCTCCTGCAAGACATCTGTAAAGGGGCCAAGTTGAAAAAGGTGACCCAGATCAATGACCGGAGTGCACCTGTTATTGAAAGTAAGTATGGGAGCTGGGTCAAGGGCAAGAAGGTCTTTACTGTCTAACTGAGCTGCTTTTGATGGCCTCTGAATACTACTAAGTCAGGGTCTTCCCATTTCTTTTAGGCATGGTCCATATCAACATCAGGCATTGGAAGAAATAGACTAGAATTTCACAAGTGAGGCAGGGCAGGTTGTTTCCATGAGATGTGCAGATTTTGAAAAAGTTACTATTTTGAACTGCAGTTCAGGAATCTTTGGGGGAATTCTGGGAAGAGTAGTCCAAAACAGTACTGTTCTTTAGACCCTGATATGTTGGCTAATGTTGGAATTTTCCTTTCAGAATCCAAGGGCAGTGGCAGCTACAGCTCTGGTGCATCTCCCCTGCAACCAAAGGGAGGCCTCTTCCAAGGTGGTGTCCCCAAGCTTCGACCTGTGGGTGTAAAAGACAGTTCAGGTGATTTGCCCACATTCCGAAATGAGGGTGATTTAAGTGGTGATACCAAATGCCATCTTAGGGCCATGGGAATTCCATCTTGTTGATATAATCAAACATTATGCTTCCTCTAAAAGGCTGACGTGGTTTGTGTGCAAGCCATACTTTCTTGCTTTGGTAAGCAAAATGTACTTAGCCTTGAACACTGATGAATAAAGAAGCAATAGGAGAAGAGTGGGATAAAATGTGGGATAAATGAATTATGAAGAATATGTCTGTAGGGATAAAGGAAAATTGCTATAAGGTAATATGGAGGTGGTATTTAATGCCAGTAAAACTGAATACAATAAATAAAAATTTAGCATCACTATGTTGGAGGTGTAAAAAAGAGAAGGGGACATATTTACATATGTGGTGGTTATGTGAAGTAAGAAAGAAAGAATGGAAGCAAATGTTTAAAGAAATAAGAGAAATAACTGGATTAAATATTCAAATATCCCCGTTAACAGCCTTATTGAATATGGTCAGAGAAGATCAATTGCTGAAAGAAAATAAGGATTTAATTGTAATAACTGTTACGGCAGCAAGGTTAGTACACTGGTGCCTCGCAAGACAAGCACTTCATTTAATGAAGAAATTGCATAACGAAGAGGTTTTGCGATTGCAAAAGCGATTGCAAAACAATGATTCCTATTTTTTTTTCACTTTGCGATGATCGGTTACCTGCTTCGCTAACCGATTATCTCAAAACGAAGATTTTCGCACAGCTGATCGGTGGTTTCAAAATGGCCGTCGGGTAAAAAAAATGGCCGCCCGCTGTTTTCTGGGATGGATTCCTCGCTGCACGGGCAGTGAAAATGGCTGCACTATGGAGGATCTTCGCTGGACGGTGAGTTTCAAGCCCATAGGAACGCATTAATCGGGTTTTAATGCGTTTCTATGGGCTTTTTAAAATCGCTTTACGATGTTTTTGTTCTACAGGGATTTCGCTGGAATGAATTAACATCGTAATGCGAGGCACCACTGTATTTGCAAGAAATTGGAAAATGATAACCAAATTAATTTAGAGGAATGGTATAGAGAATTATGGGAAAAGGCAGTTAATGATAAACTGACATGTGATATGAAAATAAGAAGAGGTCTATTAAAAATAATGATTTTAAGAAAACATGGAATATATTCCTGGAATATGTATTTCAGAGAGGGAAGGGGTATACGCCGAGGGAAGAAACAATGAATTTTTGGAGAGAAAATAGATTGAATGAAATTTTAAAATATTATTGATACTAGCCCTGAGGGTGAAGGTGGCCCTGGTGTATTATGTAATTGTATTTTGTTGTGTTAGGGTTATGTTGTCTATGTTTCATGTTCATTTAAGTAATAATAATAATAATAAAAATAAAAAGAACACCGATAGAGCTGAAGAAGGTCAAACTTAATATCCAGGCTTGAAGTTCTACATTTTTTTTCTATGCGCTCCCACCTAATATACCTTCCCCCTGTACATATTACTTGGAGGGCCTTCTTTCCTCCCACGTCTACCATCTGAGGTAAGGTAGATGATGGCCTTTTTTT